CCCCATAAAGGTTTGACTAGAGTTGGGCTCTACCTTTTTGGCGAGCACACTTTGTGGGTGGTATCTTGTATTCGTGTTGCGTCGTATCAGGAGCATATGGTGTCTGGTCATCTTGCTATTAGTGATAAGATTGATGAGTGGGTTCACGGAGGTCCCTCACCTGCACTGTATTGAGATATTTTGCATTATTTTTTTCATATTAGGTCTTGAATTGTGGTGTATAGTTTATACTTACAGCACATCTTGATTCGGATTAGTCACATTTGAAGTGTCCGACGGTCACAGTGTAGCCAGTGGCTATCTCATGGAATAGCACCGTTCTAAACTTTTCCAGTGGGCACAGAAAGGAAATACATATTTTTGAGAAACAAATCATGAGCTCATATTGATATCTCAAGTGCAAATGTAATATAAGATTTTTTCCTTTGATCTCATGCTAGTATTTCTTCTTACCCTGAAAATCTTGGGTTTTTAACAATATTAACATAATTACTTCTTTTCTTTATCCTAAAATATATTTAAAATAGTTTCAAACAGTAATACAGTATTCCACGTGACAGTGGTATTCTGAATGAGGTTTACAATTTCTTTGCAGCTGTATTTGTTTGTAGAATTTACTTCACTAAGGTAGTATCATCAAACATACCATGCTCCAAAGTCATTTAAAATAATTCTCTGTGTCTGTCACTGGCTTGATTTAGTTCGCTTAATTAATCTCAGTTCAAGGTGACAACCCAGATATATTTGGACTAGTGTGACAATAAGGCTGCCACTAATGAGAAATGAAGAGATAAGAGCTTTCAGACCAAAAGGGGTTAATCTCTCTGATCCTCAGGTTTCTCATTTTCAAGTGGGGGCAAAGATTCCTGCCTGTGGTGCAGAACAGGAAAGTACTTTTAACACTAGAAAGGGCCCTGCAGCAGGGGCTCTCAGGAGGGGCTCTCACCTTTGAGTACTTGAGCAGGCTTGCTCTCACTCCCAGAGCCTTGGGTGGAAGCTGTTAGGGTGTGTAGATCTGGACCAAAAGACCACCGTTATGTTTCATTTAGCTCCAGAACCGAGGGCTGAAAAAATACTGCTTTGACTACAACCCTCCCGACGAAAACCAAGTTGTAGGACACCAGGTCCTTTTGTACCTCTGCCACGGGATGGGCCAGAACCAGGTAGGTGTGGGCCTCTCGAGGGAGAAATGAGGGGAAGGCTGTGTGTTTTTTAAAAAATCAAATATTTGATTTTTTTTTTTTATTGTAAAAGTAATCCCTACTTATTACGGAACATTTGGGAAATAGAAAAAGTAGAAGTCGGGTGAATGGCAGAGTCCAGAGACACCACTGTTAAATTTAAGACATATTTTTCTTCCCCATTTTTTTTTACACACCGGCTTTAGATTTTGTGTTTTAAATAGTTGTTATCGTAATGTCTGTATGTTTTATAGTCTATTATTTCCATTTACTTCATCATAACTTTTCTTATTAGACATGCTCTGAGAATATCATTCCTAATGGATTGATATTTCATTATGTGCCTACATTTCTGCTTAGTTAACTGGGTCCCTGCCTTGTATTGCTTTTGCGATTCTAAATAACCCTGCCACTAACATCTTTGGTCAGAAAGAAAGAAGGAAAAAAGTAACACATCTGCATTTCAGATGATTTCCTTGGCGTTAAGTCTAGAGTGGAATGACAGGCTTTGATGCACAGTGCCGTACTGCAAGGTGGTGGTTAGGGAAATGGCCTGAGCTAGGGGCCCAGGTGGGTCTTCCTGGGTTAAGTGCTGTACTTCAGGCAGGGCAGGGGAGGCTCAAGTGTGGAGGGTCTGAGGACCAGAGCAGGACCCCGGGCACCCAGGAAAGCAGATGAACCTGCCAAGGCAGGGTCCTGGTAGACTGCAGAATCTCCTAGAAGGGAGATGGTAGGCTGAGTGGGTGTCTTGTCAAAAATGTGAAAAATGCAGCTTCTTGGGCCCCATTTCATACAGAAGGAATCCTATTCCCTCTCTGGAGTGGGGCGAGGAATCAGTATTTTTAACAGACACCATAGGTAGTTGCTAGGCACACTTGAGTAGGAAAACCATTGTCCTGAAAGAACCAAGTCTTCCCATTAGCAGTCGTGTTGCTGCTTGGGCGCAGCACTTTATAGTTTCCAGGCACTAACCAGATTATATTATAACCAAATATAATAGCCATTATATTTGGGGGTCGGAGGAAATGCTGAGGAGGAGAGGAAGTGTCCAGTCAAGGGTCAAGGTTGCAGAGAGCCCTCAAGTGCTATAGTTGGGGTGGCCCACTCTGTTCCTGCTGTCCTACACCAACACGGGGCTCAGCACAAGGCAACGTGCACAGCCCTGTCCTCACTATCTAGCGAGTGAGTCAGGCATGAGAAAGGGCCACTTCATTCACGCTTGCGAAGCACTGCATTCACGGTCCACAGAGGAGGCCCCGGTCAGACAGGTTCCTGTCGGTGGTGAGGGGAGTGCGGGACCCTGCCCGTGTTCCTGTGACCCCAGGTTCTTGTCCAGCGGTTTCCTCTCTTTCCACGTCAGAGGGTGACTAATGCATGTTGGCTGCCCCGTTTTTAGTTTTTCGAGTACACGTCCCAGAATGAGATACGCTATAATACCCGCCAGCCGGAGGCCTGTGTGGCTGTGGAGGCAGGAAACAACGTTCTCATCATGCATCTCTGCCAAGAAACAGCCCCCGAGAATCAGAAGTTCATCCTACAGGAGGTAGGTGACCCCTCACTCCTTCCTTGCTGGTGGTCCCTGGGCTGTCAGGGGGAGAGGGAGAGTCCAGCATTCTCTCTGGCTTAGTCCTAGCAAGGCTCAGGGATGCGGCCACACTGTCATCGTGAGCCCAAGGTGGTGGTGATGGTGGGAGGGTCCCATGGCATGTGGGTCAGAATCGCTTCCTTCCTCCTTCACCATCTAGTCCTTTTCTGTCTTTTCTGGTACCCTTCAGGGGGCTGTAATGGGAAGAGGGCTCTTGAAAATGCATTTGGAGGTGAAACAGGCCTTAAACGAGTGACACAAATAGCCGGAGTGTAAGGATGTGAGGTTGGAGCCAGGTAGAAGCTACTCCACCTCTCTAAGCCTCATTTTTCCCAGCTCTGAAATGGACACAATAATAGGAGCATTGCCTAACTCTGGTGAGGATTAGATGTGTAGCCAGAAACATTCTTTGGACACTGTAAAGCTTGATGGAGGTGAGTTGTTACCTGTGTTATTATAACCAAGAACACCTCTTTGTTGGAGTTGGCTCTCCAAATAGTCTCTGTTGGTCTGGAACTGGGCGTTCCTTCAGGCCCGGAAGGGACTGGCTCTGCTGCCTTTGCAGTCAGCCCGTGACACGACTCGTAAATCAGTCATATCCTTTGACTCCCTAAAAAGCATTAGAGGGAATAAATCCAAAGAAAATAATTCAAAAAAAATTAATTTTCTTTTATCTTCCTGGGAAGCTTTCATTCCCAGCCTGGCCTCTGATATGGAAAGAGTCTTTTATACTGCTTATAAATGGGTTAATTCTAAGTCCGATTAAAAGTTGAAATATGTTTTCCGGTAGAAAAATGTTATAATTAGCAACAAAATTTGCAGGCTGCCCAGAAAAGCCAGACACCATAATGCTATTCATTTGATAGAAGAACATAAGAAGGAAAAACACTTTTGCACACCCCAGAAGCCTGTGACCCTTTTGAATGCCCTCGTCTCATCTTTCTCCCACCTGTAAGCCATTGTAACCCCTCAAAAAATAGCAATGCAAGCTATTAACAGAAATAATAAAATTGGTTTGAGGCCGGGCTCAG